ATGACGAAACATTTCCAAACGGCCTGAGGTTGATCGACTTTACTTTTTTTGTATCAGTAGATTTCCTGAGAAATATCGAACTATAGTGGAGAGAACAAAAACTACCTACCCCGAAATCGTGTGATCGACCACAAGAAGAGGCAACAAGACGCTTTTTACAGAAAAAATCTAAAATAGGCAAAAATGCGTGATTATGAAGAGCTTGAGCATCTGGCAGACAAGAGTAACGCTCGAAAATTCTATACCGGAGCAAACTCTTTTCTAACCATGGGTTGTGGCATAGTGACTGATGCTCAAAGTATATTAATATTCTGGAAGGAATACTTCTCCAACCAGCTGAAAGATGTTAAAATCGAACAACAGGAGGTGGAAAACACTTTGCACTATACGATTTTGACAAGGTTCGAATAGCGATTGCTGTTTTAAAGAACACCAAAGCAGCTGGAGTTGACGGCATAGCGTCAGAGCTAAGCTTTATCGACGATTATAATTACAATGTACTCAGCCCAATTTATCTTAAGTGGACTCCATATTCTGGGACAATTACCACAGAGCAAGGTTATATCGAACGTATTATGTGAAAGACTAACCCCCACTATCAGCGTACTGATCCCACTAGCTTTAGACCGGGGAAATCAACCTCTTACCAGATATTCACCATTCGCACAATTTTAGAAAATACTTGTAAAAAAGAATCTGTACACATTCGTTTTTCATCGACTATAAAGCATGGTTATGCATAAGCATACGTAGGCCCATGCCTTGCTTTCTGGAAGATGCACAGAGCCATAGCATAGACGAATGAGTGAGGCAAAGTGCTGAAGATTGCAGACATTGTTGTGCATATTTTTACAATACAATAGATTTTGAAATAAACGTTGAAATGTTGATTGCAATTTACAGTACCCAACCAGAGATGGTTAATTATTCAAGCAAACCATTTTCTTCCAAGCCGAAACATACGCTACACTAACGTCCCTAAAGCTATGTATACTCCAAGCTTCTGGTATAATTATCAATTACTGTGTCTGGTAATACTGTGAACTAGGTGTGGTTTATGGGAGACTCACTAAAGTCAACCTGCTCAGTCAAACCTAACCAAGCATACTGTTCAATTTCACCCGGCCAGGTACTCCATTTTATACGTGGTTAGTTCAAGAATGACTTTACTTTTGGGAAATTAACACCATATCGAGTTACATCCCTCCCTCAACGGCAGTTCCATAGGTTCCATTAGAAAACTCAATTCCTAACTTAAATGAATTTACTTCGATCATTTTTTCTTGGAGCACAGCATTCAACAGATCGAGTGGTTATTGCTAATTCGCACATACATATCTACGAATGTAAACTAGTGCCTGCGGAAGGAACAATAAATTTGCACATCATTAACGTCTACCCACACAGGGCTAAGTAGATTTATATGTATATGTACGCTTGCAAATAATGTCTTGATTGAAAAACCACATTTGCTTGGTATAAATCTGCAAGTTGCCCTGGGTGACTGTGCGAAAACAAATAGTCAAAGTACGTTGAGGCCATTAAAGTCCCAAATATTCGTGTGCGCCAAGAGTTAACTAGGCGCCTTCGCCATCTGGCATGTATTCATATATCATATGTACTTATTTATATGTACGAGTATTTATATGTGGGCAACAATGAGTATCGGGCCGATACAAAGGATAATAAATTTAACATTTTCCAAGTTTACAGTTTGTTGACGGAAGTAAAATGAGCACAAATGGTGGCGATGGAGTACCTGTGGTATATGTACATTTGTATATGCTTACGCGTGTATGAAGTGTGACTTACTGTGTATTCAGTTGGCTCATTTATTACAGTCGTAATTTCTTCATTTGGTTATTTGTGAGAATAAGTTTCCTACATGAAATTTTCGGTTAATTTTTAACCAAAGAGGAGTTTGCTTTTTAAATATATGGGTACAGCAAACTATATCGTAGAAGATTGACTACTTACTGCTAACACTCAAAAGACAGTTAGTCAACTAAATTTATTTGTAGTTGAAACTAGCTAGACCCTATATTCCTATTGGAAAAAGCCCATATATGAACCGATTTTGAGGGGAAATAAATCACAAAAAAAATATTTTTCGAACAGATCATTCCCTGGTGCACTTCTTTACGTGAAGAGATGCCTTTCTGTTAAGCCAACAATATACGTAATTAAAAAAAAAATTTCGAATAGGTCAGTACTATTCTTTGAGCTAATATTTAATTTTAAGCAAGCTTTTATAAAAGTTATTGTAGTGTTTCCTAACTTCTCTTCGCGTAAGAAAAATATCGCGATGTGACAGCAACATCATAAACTCATCTAAATTCAGCCACACAAGTTCTTTATTAGGATCAAAATTGGCTTACTTTCGAGGTCTGTTAAAAACAAAAGGTGAATTGTGAGTTTTGAATTTTCGCGCACAGTGTGCCTTTAACTATGGAATTGCAGATTGTTGTTGACAACTGAAAAGGTTAATCATGACTTTGTGTGCCGATTTTAGACCTTTGAAAAAGAAAGTATTGGCCAGGTGCTATTAAATGACGTCAACGTCGCTTCAGGTTAGCTCGAATGGATAATATTTGATGACGAGTAATGGGTGTGTGGTTATGACGTCGAAACCAAGGCCGATTTATCCCAATTGGAAGCGGCCAGATGAGCCATTACGAATTTTATTATTATTCCCAATCCTATTCTTCACGCTATATTTTGGAAAATTAAATAAAAAAAATACTACTTCTCTTATTTATTAAATTGAAAAACAAGAACTACAACTGTTGGTTTTTGTATTTTCGCACATTATTTTCATATATAATATTAAAAAAAAATCTACTGTTAATTTACTACATTGTTTTTTCTAATTTTTATTTAATAGTGCATTGCGTATTAGTACTCAAAATTTCAGTGTTCCAGTCCTGGTCAGACCAAAAACAAAAAAAAAAAAGCAAAGAAAATTATTTTCTCCTTTTTTTAGTTCTAGCATCAAAGCAAAAATCCTCATAAAAATCTTTCGATCGTTTTTAAGCGGCTTGGAATAAAATATAGAACAGCGAATCTTTCATTTTGCTGGAAAAACATTAGGACGCATATTAAAAATTACTGGAGGGGACCAGCCGAAAGTCGCGGTTACAATACACATATAACCGTTCTAGAAATAAGTGTCTTATCAACTAATCTTTTGTATACATAATACAATTAATACAAGTTGTTGCTTGATTCTTCTACTCATTTTTAACATTGTACTATTGAAAGTTAAAAAAGACATTTTTTTGAAAAGCACAGAAATTGCAACTACTTTTTACTGATATATATTTAACTAATTAATCTATAACTTCATGACTTCTTCTTCGCACTTATTTTCAATAAATTTCTTTCTAAATTTATAAACTTTTCTTTTTAAATTATTGTTCCATTTCCGATACTTATACCTTTCTCTGTGCTACTGTGTAGTTTTTGTACTATTTTAGGGCATTTTTTTAATAATATATATATACATAATATTTTCCGAACATTTTAGCACTCCAAAAGTCTATTTCTTGTAGTATATCTTACCTTAGCTTTTATCAGCTAATTTTGCTTGCACCTCAACTTAAGGCATTTGCATACAATTTCCATGCTTGTTTTTCACATATCCGAGCGTTAATTATTAACCAGCAGCCGCAATGGCACCAGCTTTTCAAGCATAAAGGCCTACGAAGTCGAAGTGCGTCTAATTTGTGCAATTTCACAGTTCTTGACGCCGTCACTCAGTCTAAGGTTGTCCTCATAGCAACAAGATTAAGAAGGACAGCAGAAAAGCTAACCGGAGAGATTATTTTAAGTGGCTAACAGTCAAATATTCCCCAAGAACCACGCATAGATAAGGTTGTTGCAAAATATTTTGATATATAACAACATATTAGCCACCACTGTAAGACAACATTTGTACTGGTATGTTATTGTTTGCTATCGAACATGGCCAGTCAGGCAGCGTCTCCCAATGCCCCCATCGCACAAAACTGACAGAAAAAAGGTTTGCTGTTGGCGCTGCAGCGCTAACCACTCGAATGTGGGCCATTAGGCAATTCCACTTTGCCTGTTGCATTTACGACTGTGACTTGTCATGAAATTGTTGGTAAATAGCATTAAGCATGTTAGGGCTTTTTTTCCAGTTTTATGTAATGGTGATGCTGGTGGCAGTTTGTTTTTGTTGTTTCTATGCAGATGTAGTTTATTATGGTTATTTGCAGTGATTTATTTTTGTTCGTCTTTTGTTATCTGTGCGTTGGAAATGAATTTTTCATTCCTGCCGGGGATTAAAGAAATTTTGGGAATTCATTCTGGAAACTATTAGAAAAAGAGAAGTTTGAAAATAAGTGATATTCATTTACAGTATAAAATCGCAAGAGACATGGCACTGAACCACAGGAATTAAGAAATTTTTAACTGTCAGTAGAATATGGAGATTACACAAATAGATAAATTCTATGCATGTAAAGTGATTGGGGAAACTATATTTTCAATGTATATGCATCCCCACTCTATTAAAGTTTATCGATAACTCTGTATCCTGAGATTCTTTTTCTGGTTCCTTATTTTTAAATATCTCTGCATGTAGCTGATAAGGGTTAAATAATTCATAAATATCAATTTTTAAACACTTTTATACATCTTCCATCAGAAAGAAATCTGAAACTTTGAAATAATTTTCTCCCAGGAGACTCCAGTTGTCATATTCCATCAAATCTTACAAGCCCTACTGCCACCAATTTTCATGTTAACATTTCAATGCAAAAAAAAATTTTTCTTCAACTGTGCACATTCAACTTCCAGTCCCAACACAACACAACATTACAACGTCAAAACCAACCCACACCTAACATGTTCGTATGCAACAGTTGAAAACTGCCATATACAACCACAACTAATTGTTGGCAGCAAACATTTTGGCCAAATTACCAGTGCTTGCAGCTAAAACGTTAAGCAAGTTTAGTTTTCATTGCAAGCTCAACTGTTCTTGGTCACGAACTGTACGTAGCGGTTAATTAAACGGACGGTTAATTAACATAACAGATGGTGAAGTAAAAAGAAAATAAAGAAAAAAACTGTAATAGTAAGAATATTAATTAGTTTTTAAAAAATTGTAGTTTTCCATATAAAACGTATGCAGAAATGTAGCTTTTTGTAAAGAATAGCGATTTCGAAAAAAAAAATTTAAGCAATCTACACCAATGAGAGATTTCATAGTGATTTTTAAATGGAGTGAATTTTTGACGCTCCCATTACGGTGGTGTGGTGCTGTAAAAGTAGAGCGATTTATCGAGATCTACCCAGTAAGTGTTAGGCCATTACTAAAAAAATAAAATTAAACTAATATACATAAAGTAATTAATAATTAATAAAGTAAAGCAAATAAAAAATATGAAAATTCCTTCTAAAATAAAATCAAATAACATGAAATAAAAGTATAAAATATAAACTAAGACATAAAATAAAATAAAAAATAATATATTACAAAAGGAAATAAAACATGAAAACAAAACCAAAAATTTAATTATTTATGCAAAAATATTTCCAGAGTTGAAACTGAAGTGATTTGCTTTTTCGATAATTTTGTTGATGACGATTAAACCAAAATTACGACTATAATATACAATTATATAATGTAACGAACAACTTAATAATATTTATGAAACAAAATATATGTGTTTTAATATAAAATAAAATCAAATAAAAAACGAAAAAAAATAAATTACAGAAAAAAGTTATATAATATGAGGTATAAAAAATACGATAAAATAAAACAAATTAAATAAAATAAAATTTAAATACAATACAAAATAGGAGTAAAATAAAATAACTTAAATGAAATTAAAATAATAAAATAAAATATAATAATAAATTAAGAAAAATGATTCAAAATATATGTAGAAATAAAATAATGTAAAATGTAAATAAAGAAAATTATGAAATAAATCAAATGAAATTAATATAATAATTAAATAAAACAACATACAATAAATTGAGAAACTAAATATAAAATAAAAATAAAATAAAATATATGAAACGAAATTATTATAATAACAGAAAACGAAATAAAAGTAAAATTAAATGAAGCTTATTATGAAAAAACTTGACGGAATTTCAAACACAATACATGCGCCTGGTGGATGATTTTCTCGATGACGACAACATAACAACTATGAAAGTAAATTAATCAATATAAAACAATATGTATATTTTAATATAACACCGAAAAAAATAAAGAATTTTAGAATTAAATTAATTAGTATATTGAAAAAAAATTATATAAAACAAAATGAAATAAAAGAATAAAATTAATTTTGCAAAAAATATTATCGAGTTTCAAACCCATACAGTAAGCCTTTTTGGTGGTTGTGTCGATAACGAAACAAAATAAATGAAAATTCAAATATAAAAAGACACAGCATCTTGTCTTTTGCTCTTTAATTTTCGCCTTTCTTCTTCTTGTGTTCTTTTGATTTAATGCAGCTTTTAGTTTGCAGGAATAGTTGGCCAACAGAAAGCAACAACAAAACCGTTGGATATAACGTTATATGTGCTTATGGAGTGTGCATTGAAGTGTTTGTGTCTCAAAGTTTGCATCTCTTTGTTTATAGTGTGCATCTAACTCACCTAACGTTGCAAAAAAGGTGGCTTAATATGTAAGAAAATCAAAAGAAAAGGTAAATATAGAGCAAGTAAAATCATTGTCGTTTGTGATCAAGTTTTTCTGCCTGTCTGTTTTTAAGTCTGTGGTAACTGTGGTGCAGTTAATATAGCTTTTTGCATTAAAATTTGGAAAAATTATAAAATTAAGAAATCTCAACAAAGTATAATATATCAACGAAACAATATTAAGTGCGCAAATCTGTAGCAAGTTGAAGTTGCTGAAATCGATGCCGAAAAATGTGAATAGTGGAAAAAAAAGAAAAAAGTAAAAATTATAATATTTGTAAAAGCAGAATAAAAAAGTGAGTGTAAGACCTTAATGAGAGTATAAATTCAACATAAATTTTGTGAACTTAAAATATAAAAAGTATTCATAACACCTGTTTCAATCTGTTTTAATGCAAATTTGTGCTAGTTTCTTACTTCTATTAAAAACGAAACTCACGTAAATATCGTTCGTTGTTTAATTTAAGCGCATTTTCTTTTTATGCATAACTTCAAGATAATCAAGTGTGGTTAATTGGAAATAATTGCGTTCATTATACATACATACTAGACACTGAGAAGTGGTTAGAATTGTTTACTTTTGATCTAAATAACTTTTAGAATGTGCGAATACCGGCGCCATTGAATAATTATTACTTGTAGCTGTTCAATTCAATTAGGTGAGTACACATGATTATATATAAATATGCTTGTTAGTTATTGTAATGATGGAAGAGCAAAAAGTGTAGCAAAATTCAAAACTTAAGAAAATAAATGGTATTGAGACTTTTTTTGGGCGAGGAAATCATTTTCAATATATCAAATTTTATATTTTCTCTTTCTAAGACTGGTACCCTATAGTCGGTAATCAGAATTTAGTACACTTATTCTTAATGAGCAAATGCCAATAGTAAACATTTTGAAAGTTATTCTCTATATTTTTCAAAGTTCATGACATGTAAAAACTTTTTTAGGATAACCAAAAATTTGGCGGATTTCTACAGTAAAAACGAGACTTTACCTTTGAAAAACTTTTCAAAAATTAATGCGGATTTTTTTATTTTCTAGTAAAACTTAACGATAGTTTTGAAGATTTGAAGATTTCCCACTATAACATATAATAACTGACTCTTAGATCTCGGGTTATAAATCTGTCAAAATGTTTAGGAAAGTGCGAAATTTGACATTCTATATAAATAGATTAATGCGAATAAATATTTATACTGAAGATCAGCAAAATCGGAAGACTGTGTAACTTGGATATCGAGGTCACGCTATAAATTTTTACATTTCACGGCCACCTGTCTTATATGGGCGTGGACTTTCATGGTCGGAAATCTTAATAATTTTTATCATTTAGCAGTAACGGCAGCAAAGTTACTTCACCTGTACGTCTTTAATGTCTCCACCATGACTCCTGTCTGGTCTCCTATTACTTAGTGAAATATTTTAGGACCATACTGTCACTCAGTATTGGCCTAACTTGACTAAGTCCAACCTTGATAAATGAAGTATAATTTGCTCCCGGCGATATGTCCATAAATACTCTTGAAGTTAGTTTCAGAAAATTAACAATTTAAGCTTAAAATAAACACATTTTTATTCGGATTCTAAAGAAATATTCAACATCTAGCTGCTTTGTGATCCATATGGAATTACTTCCATAAGTAATAAAATTGCCTAACTTGGGCTTAAAAGTTTTAATTGTGATCTGGAGCACTTAACAATTGATTCACGTTCTTATCAACACTAAGAACATGATGCAAGCATAGAAAAAATATGTACGAGCATGACAAGTTTATTTAAAAAAATTATAAGCGTAGTTATTTAAATTAAAAAAAATTATAATTTATTTTATTTGCTTGTTCTACTAGTATTTATGAATGGAAATTTGTTTTTATTTACCTGTAAATTTTTTCCATCATTTCTCAGCTAAAAATAAACAAACCAAATACAATTTACGTTTTGTAGCCGTCGAAACGATTTTCGGTTGAGCTTCTCCTCCAATTATGTGTCATAAAAATTTTCTTCAATCTTTCGTTACTTCAACTCACCAAAGTAAAATTATTTGATATCCAAATTTTATATCATAATTTTGATAAAAGCAATGATTCTGGAAGAAAAAGTATTCCGCATAATATTCTTAGCTAAAATCTACCTGTGATTTCCGGTAAATGAAAGCATATATAATATTTTTCATATAAACCTTCTGCTGGCAATTACAAACGACCGAATAAAATTTTGAGCCGTTCCCAATTTACGAGATACCATATTATTTTACACAAATTCTGTATATGTTGATGTGTATATAAATAAAGTTAGTTTAATCTATGTCCAAGCATAATTCTAACGCCTTATGGATTTCTTGCTAGAAAGAAATTACTATTTTAAACTTTTCGTAAATTACAATTTTTACAAGCTGAAAGACGCGTAACTTTTAGCCTTCCCCATTCATACCGGCCGTTACTCTTCTTTTTTAAAATAAGTCAAAATTAAGTGAAAAAATTTATTATTTTACTTAGTCGCTTCTTTCGAAATTCATACCATTATCAACTCCCTCTCTCCCGGTTATACCTTCTATCACCTAGAAAAAATCTAATTACTTATGCATACTTTCTTCCCAAGAAGCTACTTAGTTGTTGCTCATTCAAGCGGACACTTTTCAATTACAAGTCTTACAAACTAATTACTTAACTGTGCCACATTTCACCATCTGACTTGCTGGCTGATTTGCGGCTGAAGGTGCTGAATAGTGAAATTTCATTGACTTTTTACAAGTGTATTTGAAATGAAATTCTTGGCGATTTTTTCGCGCATTAAAGGACTTTACTTCGAGAGTTGGCGTAATTTCAGTGGAAAAATATTTGCATTTCGAAACTGTGAGGTAAGATTATGTTTGCAAGTGGTTGTATATTGCTTTAATAATGGAAATGAATGAATTTGTCTTCAGTGTACAGGCGTGTTTTGTATGCTGTCGTTACCACGGTATTTATAACTATAATGTTCATGTTGCAGAAAGCTAGTTTCGAACTCAAAAGGATAACTACTAAAAGCCTGGCTACTCTGAACTTTAATCAATAATCAGTTGGATTGGCAAGGTTGGACTTAGTGTTAATACCAACAATAGTGTCCGAAAAATTTTCACTAAGTAATATGAGGTTGTAATCGGGGATCAGCCAAAGCTGGCAGTCTTAGCCCCAAGCACTTTGAAAGAAAATACAAGGAAAGAAGTTTCACTGCCGATAGTGTTGTGCGATAGCAATCATTAACGTTTCCGACCGTGAGGGTACACACTAACATCAGCTCATCTTTTGGTTTTTTGACATCGAAAAATCTTCTAGGGCTTCGGCAAGCTTTTACCTGTGTATGTTGATCCAGATAGTCCTACTACTAAAGCGTAAGGGCTTCGGTATATTGCACCGAGCAAGAGAATCGTGGCATATTTCAAGTTACGCAACTAAAGCCCGCCATTCATTCTATCTTTTTGTTATTTGCTCGGAGAAGTATTTTCTGATCCTGACGGAGTCTTTGGTGTTGCTTAATGCCAGTTTTCCCAGCCGTATACATTTTTTTGGAATACCAAATTCAGAAATGGTGACGTAGAGACAGCTTCTGTTGGAGGCAGTCTTAAAATCGATGAAAAGGAGATTTGTATCGATTTTTTTCTAACCGGCTTTTTTGCATGGGGAATATCTAGTGGAATGGTAGATTTTAAGCTTAATGCTAAAATTCAATCAGTTTGTTGACGGTGGGCATATTCTTGTTATCGTTTACTATATCACCTCTCTCCGGACATACATACATGGACATTAAAGGCAACGATATAGAAAACTTATTAGCAGTTCTAGTTTTAATTGATCCATCAACGCAGCAAGGGAAAAATAATTCAGGCAATGCTTATACTGCCAACCCCAAATAGTTTTAGGTCAAAATTAGTGCTTGTAATATTCAGTATGCGATTGTTTATGTTTATTCATACTTAATGTCGTTAGTTGCTGAAGGCAATTCTATTAGTGCAGCCACTGCAAAACATCTAATCTCCAAATTTTGGCAAAATTAACTATATTAAACTAGTAAATGAAATATATGTATATACATATATGTATTATGTAAGTAACTGGGACTAGCAGTACAATTCTAACTTCGAATTCACGTGTTCATCGTGAAAGAAAGACTTCGAATGGAGTAATCATTACTTAAAAATTATAATTACTAAACATTAAAACATTTCTTTTTCTGCATTCGCACAAATAGTTTTAATTTTAATATTTGCCATACATCTTGAAAAAACCGTATGCAATTTATGTTAAACAGGGTTGTCAGACATACATATATGGCATACATACAAACATGCACGCAAAATAGGTCACATGACTTGCATAAAATAATGCATAGACTAAAACATGGATAGGTAATTATGTTACACGCATAATAAACAGTAAGCATTAAAAGAAAACTCAAAAGCTTTACATTTGTTAGTACGCATGTGACTGTATGTGTGCGTATGCCAAGTGTGTGCCCAAAGTCACGCATTGCGTTATAAACTGCAACACACACTGCTAACAGAAAGCAAAACAATAACAACAAGAACGAAAACAGATAATGTTTCTTCTTTTGCTATTGCTGTTTTTGTCGTACACATACACACATAAATATAATATATTTAAGTTGTTGCTTTTACCATATATGGGCAGCCAACAAAATTGCATCACCAACTAACAGCCTATGGCCAGCAGCGAACGGCCATCAGCAAAAAGCCGAAGAGAGCGAACAAAACAAACAAGCAAACAAATAAAGAGAGTGTTGAGAGTAGCAGCTGCAGCAGCAGCCAATTATGAGTATGTATGTCTACATATGTGTAGAAATTGCATGCAATAACCAAAAGTTCACATTGCAGTAAAACAACAACAACCGACAGTTTCTTGTTTGTTTGCTTTTTGGCAACTGCAATTAGTTAGAGACAAAATTTGTGCTAGCCGGCATGGTGGACGCTAATATCACGATAACAACACGCATTTACTAGTATGTAAGTATATTCATAAAATCCTTTAGGCACTTGTTCTCGGTATGTTGTTCTTGCTGCTGATACTGATGCTTGATATCAGCTGGTTTTTTGCAATGCTATTTATTTATCAAAGCGATGTTTGGCTTTATGTGAGATTTTGCGTTTTTGTAATATATTTCGCTCATACCGGGATAAATTTTAGAGACTACACTTTTCCCCTGGCTCTACTTCAATTTTGAGTAAGTCAAATGGTCAAAAAAGTAGTATGTTATTACAAAAAAAAAAAAATAAAAATTAATTATCGTCCCCAAATTCAATAGTTTTCTTACAACTTTGAGTAAACCATCATTAGGGGGGACCAGGGTGAATGTAGTCCTTTATATGCTCACCACCCTTCTTGAAACATTTATACCACAGATATTCCTTTCTATAAAGCTTTTGTTATCAGAAAATATTTTGTCCGGGGTTGGCAAAAGTCTTTCCATGTTGCACGGGACATCTGGAAATGCAATTGTACAAATTTACTATAATTACGTTTTGGTTTGTTGGTTGGTTGTAGAGGTTGCTGGGCATCAGCTAACTTAGGCCACGGAACGGGCTCATCGGGAAACCACTGAGATTCCTAGTGACCACCGCCCGGTAATCGATGTCTGAAATTTGCTAAACTGAGCAGTC